ACCAAAGCCTCCTTGCAGTGCTCAGCCCCGTTTACTCTGACCAAGGCAAAGGAATACTGCTCCACAGCCATGTCCCAGGCTGAGAACCACATTTCAGCCAGAACTGTATGGCTGAAGTTTCAGGAAAATAAATACAGTTGCAGTAGCAAAACAGAAGGGTAATCCTTGCTTATTCTGATTTTGTGCAGTAGCTTCAAGCTCACAGGTTTCCCCTTGTCCTTTTAGTAATCATCAGTTGAAACTTAGCTAGTGCCTTGGTTACTGAAATGCTGCTGAGGATGATGAATTGTTGTCCCCAGATATTGGCAGGGGTGGTGGGAATCTCTGCTGACCTGTCATAGTCTGTTGCTCTTGTTCAGGACCGCAGTTTGTCCAAATACATTATGCAGTAGTGGGGCCAGGGCATGTGGGCTTGAACCCCCTATTTTGGGCTCAGAGGATGAGTGCCCTAGTGTCACATGGAAGAGTTACCTGGGAAGTCAGAGCAGTGGGCAGGACTGTCATCCTTGTCTGGTCCACCTCCTGCTCCACCTTTGGGGACTGTGCCAGCCCAGCTTGCCATTGCCCTTTAGCAGCTTTTCTCCACTCTGCCTAGACCCAATGGTGAACAAAAAGCTACTCATCCGGGAATCGCCCTCTCCCAGGAACCTGCACGTCAAATGTACCATCACTGTTCTGGGCCAGTGACATGGCAAAGGGAAGTTGTTTGTCTGCCTGAAAGGGAAAACAACCGATTTTGGGTATTCTTGTTGAAGTAGGGTCTCATTCCACTTTGAGGTGGACTACAGCAGAGAGAAGGTGGCTAATATATAGCAGAGAAAGCATGGAAACTGAGAAGATCTGAAGCAATGAAGAGAGCTTTGGCTATGTGTGGTCGTTCCATCTGGGGTTGGGGAATCGCCTGGGGCCACTACAGAATGTAGTCAGGAAGTGCCAACACCCGGGTGGAGCAGGAGGAGGGACAGGAGCCAAGTGTGACTGGTAGGAGACCACCACTCCTTCAGGGGGACCTGCTTCCCCTTGATGATTACGGCAACAAATCCTGCTTTCTATCTCTGTCCACACCTAAATGAGTTTTGAAGTGTCACATCTGGTCGTCTTCTATTTTAATAATTCTGCCCTTTTGGGAGCAGCTGTATTACACACTGTATTCAGCAGGTAAGCAGCCGTTATAATTTTGGGGGCCTTCAAGGCAGTGCTTCAGGCAGCCAGAGGCTCCTGGCCCTGGCTGCAAGGGATGCAAAGCTGAAGCAAATAAGAGATCAGAGCAAGAGATGCAAACAAGACGTTTTATTGCTTTTAATCCAACACATGTACCATTTCACAGTCCAACACCCGGGAATCAAGGCTTTTGCATAAAATTGTCTCCCAGGGACATCCCTGGAGGTGTGGTCCTCTCAGCCCTCATGGGCAAATGAATAAACCAAAGCTGTCACAAGCGGTGGCTGTAATGCCGCTCAGGCTCCTGCTTCAGCCCAACACCATCTGCTTCCTCTGGCCTTGCAAACAGCCGGCAGGGCACAGCAAGGTCTTCACCAGGGAAGGGGGGCTGGATGCCCACCTGAGGATGAGGACCTGTGGTTTCCACCATTCAGGTACCCAAGCCACTCACGTGTTCCACAGCCAAGCGGCAGCTGCTTGGGTGGTGAGTGAAGCAGATGGTTGACGTTGGTGGTGAATGGCTTTGAGAGAGAGCATCAGCATATGCCGCTCACTGAAGAACAGCAGTGGCAAGGTAATTCTGCTAGCTTGTACAGGGCCAGCCCCAGAGGGTTCCAGCCAGCTCGGGCAACAGCTATCCGGGCTGTGTCCCCCATGCCGTGCTGGCTCTGATGCCTGTGGTTATCCTCTGAAAGGCCCCAGAGATACAACACTTCCTGCTGATTGTGCACCACTCCTCACCGGGGGAGGAGAAGGTGGGGAAATGTTTTCCATCCGTTGTGGTGATGCACCGGGGGAACCCCATGGAAACAAAGCCTGCTCTGACCTCCTGCATCCCACCAGGGAGGGACTGAGTCTGCCAAACACCTCCTGAGCCATCCCATGTGAGGCTGACTTCCTAATCCTAAACTCATTATTTGTAACTCAGGGGTGGAAGCAGGCGGCTGCCAGCTCCCAGATGACTGGTTCAGCCCACTCGGGGCTCTCTGATCCTCTTGCGGAGGATTGCATATTCCGCCCCATGTAAGGAGTGAGCTCACCACGGATCGGGCTGAGTGTGGCTCTCTCCCTCCCCTGGCAGTCCTCCCAGATTACAGCATGACCCTCAGCTATGAGTCACTTCTTTTCTCACAAACCCAGACGCTGCGCTGAGCAGGCGGTTGCTCATCTGCACCAGCGCTGGGAATTTACTGCGGCGAAGTGAGTTTGGCCTGCAGTGACTCCTTCTCCGCGTGTGACCTTTCTGACTTTCACTGGTCCTCTTGCGTAGAGCATCTTTGTGCAACTGCTTCCCTGAGCATGGACTGGCAGCACTGCTTGGGAGGAGAGAGGAAAAATGCCGCGGGGCTCTTGCAGTGCCAAGGAACAAATGACAGCCAGGTGCTGGCCGTGCGGTGGGGATTTCCATGGACTTGTTTCTGGGGGCAGTGACTGGCTGCTCACCCCTGCTTTGCTGGCTATAATCAGTACTTTATATTGGGCAGCGATGCTGTTGGTGTGAGTACTCCCTCCACGCATCAGCGAGGATGAGGAGGGTCAGCATAAGCAGTGGCCACTGCCCCCAGTCATCCCAGCAGAGCCCAGTGGGGAGCGTCCAGGCTTGGGACGAAGGCAGCCAGGCTGTTGAACAGGTCGCCAACCTCTCACCCTCCATCGGACACGTGATGTGGGACCAGTTTTGCTAAATCGACCTGAACGCCGGCTCCTGGGCTGGCGGGGCGGGCAGTGCGTGGCCAGGGCTACCCCAGGTGCAGGCAGGCTACCGTCTCGTGGGCAGCAGGACCCGGCTCCGGCTGCCTCTGCCAGCCGGGATGCGCGGCCAGACCGGTGAATCAGCACCGTCGTGACGCACAGTCACGAGAGAGCTGACTCCTCTTCGGAGGGCTGCGGGGATGCCATTTTCGGGAAAAGGCAACTTCAAAGCGCCCCTCCTGCTCTCTGCTTGTTTCCGTACCTACGTGCTTCCAGTGCTTTCAAAGGAGGCAGAACTTGCTCGAAACTCTGTGTTTCGCTTTGGTTTGTTTGTTTCCTCTCTCCGGAGCTGTGTTCCTATGTTGTCTGGTTCAGCATTTTGCTGTCTTGGCTAAGTATCTTGTAAGGAAATCATTTATAATAAAGCTGGTATGCTGGGGTTTATCATTTATAAGTGTGGGTCAGGGTTTAGTTCACTGTGTTAAACTCTCCATGCTGCATGTGATTTTTCAAGCTTTGTCAGGAACAAAAAGTTCTGGGGATGTGCAAAGCATGACTGCATGGTTTCCATGGAGACTCTGCTAGTTAGGCTGTGGAAATCCTGAAAAGGCCAGAGGATGACTGACAATACAAGGTCTTAGCGGCTGATCTGAAGAGCCAGACTGAATTAATGAGATTTTTCACAGAGAGTTATTAGCAAGGCTAGCACGGTATGGCACTTAGGCCTCTTTCGTTTTCTCAGCTGCAGTCTTGGAAAACAGAAATGGAAAGATTTAATTGCTGGTTTTTAAGCCCTTTTAAGATTATTTTAACCTATAACATTTTAAGGATGTAATGAAAAGCAGGTTTGTTTGCTTTTTTTTATCATTTGGTTACTGTTATTACTGTGTTTTTTGGTGGCAGTTGCCCTTTATCTGTACAGAGATGGGAAATTCAATAGTACTTATTACACTGAGCAGTTAATTCCCACATACTGTGAACACATTACTGTTCAAAGTAGGTTATCTCGAGTTCCATTTAGAGCCAAATACGAGATACTATGTCAGTAGCTTTATATCTCCTACGGCTATATTAATTATTTATTACTGACTGCTAATACAAACTGTTAACTCTGGCTAGTAATAGTTTGCTCATTTATCCATCACTTACTGTTTCTTCCCTGTGTTTCTGCCCACCCCCTTTCAACAGTCTGTGCAGGGTATGAATTCATGTATAATTTTGCACCTGATTAAAACAACCCTAAAACTGTTATCGGTCTGAGATGCTAAGTTTTGGTCAGGACCCCGACTTTCTTCAAGTTTTGCAGTGTCTGAACTGAGGCATTTCACTGGATCGTTGGCAGGTGGATGGTTAATGGTTAAAGGGAGATGTCTTTGCCTGTGAACTAAACGGATGCGTCTGCCTGTTTCTGGTACGAGAGGCTTGTTCGCTGCTTCATTTTCAACCGATACAGCAAAATGCTCGGATGCTCTCCTCCTCTCCCTGGAAAACGCAGTTTCTGCTGAAATCAGCACAGCCGGTTCAGTGAAGCGGCGTGTTAGGGACTGCTATTTCTTGTTGGTTTGCACAAGTGCACATGCCCATATGTTTCTGGGAGATGTAAAACCATAATGTTGCTGCTGAGTAATCCACAACAAAAGCACATGCGGGCTGCATTCCTTGGATTCCTGTACAGTAGACTAATCCACTTAATCTCACTGTTCGCTTCTCTGGCTGGAATTTCAGTCTCCTTTGATTTACTGGTTTGTAAACCTCTGATTAAGTGCTTTTTGGAGGGGGGACTGGGGGAATATAATCTCTGAAACCCCCTCTTTCAAATGGTTTTCTGATAAGGAAAGGTAAAAGTTTAAATGAGGGTTAGCTGGTCTTTCTTGGTCATCATTTTGTCATCGTCTTATAATTTTTAAAAAAATGTTTATTAGTAGTTTTCTCTGTTCTCTCAGCTGTCCTGTGCATAGGCAATGTCTCTTTTTGCCACATGGCAACATTTCCACTCCCCGAGCTTCACAAGTTTCTCATGATTTTTTTCTTTTTCCAGTTGTGTTTTCAAAGAAAAATGCTAACTGAGATGTGCGGAAATTACTTTATTTTCCACTAGTGGCACCAATAGTTATTGACAAGCAGAGAACACAGGAGCTGGATGCTGGTTGTGAAGCAAATTGTCAGAAACCTGCTGCTCTAACTGACTGTCGGGGAGTCAGTCCTATAGCATGGGTATGAACACAAGGTAAATCCCTAGCTAAGCAGGCAGATAAATGAGGGAGCTTGGCCTCAGAAGGTGCTCAGCTGATACAAATATCAATTTAGGACCTGCCCTTGAAATACAGAAGTATAGGTAAATAATAGAGGTGGCTCACCTGACTTAATGAGTCATAAAGGATGGGAAATAAAACACCGAGCTCCTGAAATAAACCCTCCTTTTAAAATAATAAATTACCACAACCCGTCGTGTCCTCGGCTGTGAGCGGCGCTGACCTCGGGCAGACTCACCGCTGGCACGCACGGCGCTGCGTAAAGCGCGCAGCCGCTCCGGCTCTGCGTGGCTCTGACTCAAAAGCCGGCCAGTCCTCCCCCCCTGCGTGGTGCATGCCGCTGAGGTGACTCCACACCAAAGCGTGTGGGGGGAACTTTCCATGCTCGGCGGAAAATTCCTCCGCAGCCCCACGAGTGTCTTTGGTGGCCTTGAAGAGCTTTAGGTTGCTGCCTTCCTGCCCCCCCTCCTGCAACCAGGCATCCCGCTGAGCAGCTTACGGGTGTCCCCAAACGGTGCTGCTGGCGGGAAGGACCTGCCACTGAAGCCAGACTTAACTATCCATGAAGAAATGAATCAGAAGGGGACTGAGGAAGTGAGCAGGCAAATAAACAAACATATGGGCTACCTGACAACGCAAGCATTTGGAGTAGCTTTTCTCAGGAAGAAAGGATAAAATCTCCCACGCTCTCCAGGGCTGTCCAGAGCCATTTACAATTAGATCCAAATTGGGTTTAGGCAACAGATTTAAGTCTGATTTGAATTGCCTAGGCTTGGGTCTGAAGATGCCAAATCCCGCGAACTAACCTCTGCCCAAAGTGATGAGAACCGCGTGAGAGTGGCCTCTCTCACAGCGCTCCTGCCATCTGGGCTGGCGCCAGGTCCCAGGGCGCGGAGATGCAGTCCGCTCCCAGGATGGACCACGCTGGTGGGATTTCAGCTGCATCTGAGTGGGAACTGGAAAACAGATTTCTCTAAACTTTGGCTGTAAACCAGGGCTAAAGCCACCGGGGCAGAGTCCAGGCCCTTGGGTATCAAGCTGATCTCATTCAAGCACTTGGAAGTTCTTGTTTCGATATTTTGGCTTTCACATGCCTGAAGCGCTCCGAGGAAGCATCAGGAGTGCTGTGAATCTCACCACCCATACCCTTAACCTCCTGCAGCCAGTGCAACTGCAGTTGTCCTTTCAAAAGGGCTCCCTGGTAGGATTGCTGCAGCTGAAAGAGAAAGTCAGAAAGATAAGAAGGGATGGGGTCTCACCAGGGTAGTCACACAGTGAACTGATAAGAAGGGTGATAGCTAAGTATCACCTGAACTTTGGGTTCAAGATGTAGAGCAGATAAGTGAACCGCAGTGACTCAAAGGCAATAAATCTTCTGTTCCAGACAAAATTAATCCAAGGCTGTCACAGGAGGCTAGAGAGGAAATTTGGAAACCCCTTTGGAGTGAGTGTCTGCCAAACTGGAAACATATACATTGTGCTATGACCTGTCATCCTGCATGAGCCCATGCTCCTGGGGTGCAAGCCAGACCCTTTGGCTTTCTGTCCCTCACAGTGCAGACAGTGCTGCTAAGAAGAGATAATACAGGAGCTCACAGAAAAAGTTTTTTTCTATCCAGGCACATGGCTACTTTAGGTAAAAGTGGGCAGAGAGAAAATATGAGAGAGCAATTTAAGACTTAGTGTGATGCCAGGTGGTTTAATCAAACCCTTTCTCAGGTGTGCCCACACTTAGAAATGAGTGCTTGCTTTCACAATGCTAAGGCTGGACTGTGCTAGCAAACCTCAGGAGAGAACCCCCGTGCCGTTTCTGTGAGCGTTTTACAGCATCCCAGCTTGCTGTCAATCTGGTGGCTCTCCTATTAGGATTAGACCCGTTCCTATGAAGGCAGCTGAATGGTTTGACGCTATTTTTTCATGACCTGCAGTATTTGTTGGCACTACGGACTTGGCCGGTCCCTGCAATGTGACCCACCGGCTCTTGAGGAGATTGTGAGAGCGAGTGTCCACAGACAGAAACTAGCTCCCCACCACCTCCCCTAACTTCTCTGCCTGCCGAGCTGTACCCACCCCTGCAGGAAGGTTATCTTTGCCACTATCAGGGCTAGAGGCTTTGTTTATTTTTAGATTACTCTGTAGAGTCTGGACAGAGAGATGAAAAGAGCCAGCCTAAAGGGGTCTGTGCATGCCAGACTGTCTTGCTTGTGCTCTGAGTCTGAAAACACAGGATGGGGAAAATGTGAAAGGATGGGCTCAATCTAGCCAGATTGATTAAAGATGTCTCTGCCCCCACATTTTGAGTGGCGGATGTAATACGGAGATGGGCTCTGATTTATTTTTGTGCAAAGGCAGCAAGGCTCTGGTAAATCCTCTGCTTGAGCCAAGCCTGCAGATGTTGCACCGAAGAGGATGAGACCCACCGGCACAGCCTGTTGTTCTGGCAGCTTGGCTTAGAGAGCAATGATTTCTATCTGAGAAGTGCTAAAAACACCTTGGGGGAAGTTCAGATTATCCTGAAGTGCCTTTTGGTGGTGGTGGTGGTGAGCTGCGAAATGGAGGTGTGCCTGAGCCCTGGTCTATCTAATGAAGAGGGAGGAACCTTTTTCATCATCCTGTATCACACATTACAGGGAACATTTTAAAAGTACATGGTTCGTTGTCGTTCAAAGGCCAGATTTAAATGTGATCTGGAAAGACTGTCGCTGTCTGTCAGGCTCCAACGTTTCAGAGCTCACTGGGGATGACAAGAGGGAGCCTGGCAGCTCTGAGCCCTTTCGGTCCTGCCCCTAAGCAGAAAAAAGTGCAGCGCAGGGAGGCGAGAAGAGCAACCCTCCCCACCATCCCCTCAGGTGTGGTGACAGCAGCTCTCTTGCTGATTGTCAGTGAATTTACTGACTGCTAATGAAGTGGAGGGAGAAGTGCCTTTCAGTGACATCCATGCAAAAATGTATGTTGCTAAAAACCACTGCCTATTTTTGGAGAGTTTCCCCCCACCCACCCCCCCTGATTTAAGCATCATCCTGAGTTTGTCTGGGTTTTTTTTTTTACAACTATATGTTGTTGTTGTTGTTTTTTTTTGCAGCAGTGAAGTTAATAAAGATGGATATCAGCAACAAACTGTCAAGTTCCGAGCTGGAGAGATTTTTCACTGAGTGAAACAGACCAGGGAAAATAAATAATCCAAGAAGTGGTAGAGCTTGTAAATATTGACATGTACAAGCAAGGAAACAGAAGTTAGGCAAAATAAAAAATGGATTGGGGATTGCTATTTTTCAGGTTATTACTTAAAAAAAAAATTTACACTTACCTGGTGTCCTGCCTCGGGAAGAGGTAATATTTTTCAGTTAGAATAGAAAATTTTAAATGTTTGAAGGGGTTTATTGCTGTTTCCCCAAGCCAGCATCTCTGTTTGAGGGTCAGTCTTCCTTCCTTCCCAGCCTTGGGGACCACAGTCAGCAATAGTCCTTTTTCCCCTGTGATGTCTATAGGAATATCCACAGAAGAGAAGACGAAGGAAAGAGGAAAGAAATCCAAGGTGAGAAGCAGAAGAGATCAGAGGGAGACCACTCTTTTCTCAGGTTTCCCACCAGAAAAGATGTCTTTTTAAGAACTCCACAAGAATACCTTCTCTCCTCAGCTGGGGTGCAAGCCTACTGCCCAGACACTTTGCCAGTGCGTTGCTCGGCTTGAGCTCGCACAGAGACATGGAGCTGCACAGGTCCCACTAGCTGTTGGCCCCTCTTCCATGCCGGTGACAATTTTGGCTCCCTGGGGCCTGCCACCGTGACATGCGTTTGCCACGCACCAGCTAGCTAGCTAAATACATCTTTAAAACACTTCCTGCTTTGTTTTGTTTTCCTGTCTTCTTAAGAGCTCTAAGAAGCCTACTAGGACTGGCATCTGTTATTCACCCAGCAACTGGAAGATTGGTTGGTTACCCAAGTCCTCCTTTCCTCAAGCCAGTCCATCATCTTTGTGACTGGAGGAGGTTTTGCATTGCAATCCTGCCTGCACACACTCTGGAAAGCCTCCAGACTGAATATTGCGATCATATACAGAGCAAGCCAGTGACGTAACCTTAAAGAGGGGCTTTTTTGCAGTCTTTTAGAAATGAGAAATATTTTTGTTCCGCCCTTTCGTGACCTAAGAGAGCACCAGTAGGTATAAATGGCAACTGTGCAGTAGCCAGTAGTGTTTCAGCCACATGTCATACCTTAGTGATCAAGTTGTCATAATTATGAGAGGTAGAAATGAGGTTATTGGGATGGTGTTCTTACAAGACAGGCATAAAATTCTAAATAAAAAAGTGTTTCCAGATACTCAATTAAATTAATGGGAGGGAAAGAAGAGTGGTCTTTAAGTATTTCAGACCCAGACAGTTAAGGCAGATGTACATCATCAGTCTTCGAAGAATGTCCTGGGGACATAGCCAAGAGAGTTTTGTTGTTGTTTTTTTTTTTTTTTTCCCCTCCTATCATTGCTGATTTAATATCTGCACAAGTGCACACGCAAGAGGATGATACAAAACTTGCACTTTTCAGTTCAAGTCCCTGTAAATGACTCTCCCTTGGAGATTGTTAAAAATGTAATGGGGTTATTGTAGCACATGGGAATTGGTACTTGAATGCATGTGCCAGAAAGGCAAAGGTGGGTTGACCCTGTCTGTGTTAAGTCAGGGAAACTATGGGGTTGAGCTGAGCATCTAGTGGAAATAAAAACTAATTCCAAGCAGGCCCCAGTGAGCATGTTTTTATCCAAAAAGCAATCAGAGAGAGGAATATGACCTACCAGATGGAATTGCTGAGGCAGAGGTGAAAGTTAGAAACAACAATAGCGAAACACGATCAAGTATAATTTTGACAGAATGAAGATATTAGAGAGAAAAGGCCCCAGCGGGCCAGTTTGGCTCATCTTGATCCCAATATTTCACCTGCTCTCAGAAGACCCCTGGAGAAAGCCATGTCACAGCACCGTAAGATGTCAAGGCTGAACTAGGCTGAGGGCTGCAGCGGGGCCAAGGCTCACTGGCAGTGACTGTGCTGGGCTGGGGGGCCCCTCAACCTTACCAAGGCCCCAGAAAGTGGGGCTGGGGGCACTGGGATCTAAGTCATGCCCCAGTTTTCCCTGTCAGAATATCCCCCAGCATTGCCCATACTGGCTATTGGGAAACTCAGTGGTGAGACACCAGAGACAGACTTAATTCTCAACTCTCCTTTTGCTGTAAAAAGCATTTTGTGTGCTAAGTGAAATTTAGACTGTTTTCAAGACTCCCAGTGCTTCTCAACAGATACGAGAGAGCCTTAATGTAAATGAGACTCAGACCCACGGTGCCTATAAATTTCAGTCTGTCACCCAGAGCCATTAACGGTCAATAAATTCACTAGAAAAATCAGAAAAACAAACTGGAACTGCTGTGAGGAAAGTATGCTGGAAAGAGAGGAACATGTTTTTAAAATTTGCCAGATGTTTGGTTTGCTGTTTTGCACTATGCGGCTGGCTACGGGTGCCCGGGACAGCTGCTGGTGGGGCTGTGGGAGCATGGAGGAGGAGTGGGGAAAGGTAGTCTGTGCTGGAGGAGGTGGTGGGAAGAGGAAAGGTGAAGCTGCAGCAACATGCAGAACTCTGTCAACTCCGTAATAACAGGGTTGTCTGCTTGGGCTTGGCTAGGGACCAAGTCAAGGTTTTTATGGTGTGAGTTCATCTGCTGGCTTTTCCCTTTACGTGATGTAATGCTCTCTGTGAGTGTGATATTTATTACACCCAGCTCTGTAGCGGGTACGTGTAGTTGTAGCCAGACTCAGAAAGTTTGGAAACAGCTTCCTGATCTTATTTGCATCCTTTTGGCTGACCTATGGCATAATCCAAGGAGGGTCGGCGCTGCCGTTCCCTCCTTTGCACTCCCCGCCTTGCCCTCTCCCTCCTCCTCTCTCTCATAACGGTTTGTCAAACTGTCTTGCCTTTATCTCTTCTCACAGGCTTCACAACAAGTCACAGGATGATTTATGCCCTGATAACTTCTGCTTTTAAATGCCAGGCTAAGAAAAGCAGCCCTTGCAAAAACAACTTTTGTGGAGGTGTGGGGAAACCCGCCCGTCATCGCACACAGCAGGCGAACACGCCGTCTCAGCAGAGATGCCGGGAGAGCCAGGCTGAGGGCCACTTCCCTCCCTGTCCTCACGTGGGGCCCGAAGGGACACAGTGGTGGGAGGATGGGTGAGAGGAAAGCCTTCCCAAGTCTGGGCTGGCAAGTCCCAGCTGGTGAAGGAGCACAGGGTGTGCATCACCCACTGCCCTTGTATCTCCATCCCGATCCCCCCTGCTCAGTGTCCTGAAGACCTGGAAGATGATGTGTACCTTGGGAGCAGGGGAGGGGGGCCAGGGCTGCGTGTTTGGGTGCGTTGATGGGAAGGTCTGGGCTTTGCTAAAAGTGGAAAACGTTTTGCAGCTATGATCACACTTTCAGAATTTTATTGCAAGCTTCTTCAGGGCTGGGGCTACAAGGCAGCCGGGGATGAAGCGGGCGGCTAGAGCTGCCATCCTGCTGCGGTGGCCACGGCATCGGGCTCGCCAGGGACGCAAATGTGTTGTGGCTCCCTGCCCTGCGTTAATTTCTGGCCGTGAGCTTTGCTCCAGACCTCCCCGACGGCGCTGCAGCTGCACCGGGGAGGCAGGCAGCAACCTGCCCGTACGCAGCGGGGCTGCACCTCCGGTGTGCTGGGGGCATCGGCGCTGGAGTTACGGACCTTCCCGGTTAAATGCCGCTGGGACTTCAGCCCAAACGGCAATCCACCCTGCAAGTTCAGTTGTGGGCACGGCCGTGGGCACAGGCTGTGTTTTTGTGTTTTAAGTGCCATGGAGTGAAACCTTTAAAGCAGTTCCTGCTTCAAAGCGCTCCCGCTGTAATTTCAAGACCAGAAGGGTGAGATGGGTATGGGCAAACAGGGAAAGCATAGGAATATGTTTGCAAGATCTAACTGATCTTAATTGTTCTTACTAAGTGACTTCTAAATTTTATTTTTATTTTGCAATGAGGAGAGAGATTTTCCTCTGACTGATTGACTAATGTGTTTCTGAAACCATTACGCCTCCCTGAAGAAAAGTAAGCAAGCCGTGCTGCAACTAAGGCCGGCATGCTGAGTTTCCCGAGGGGGAGAAATCACAAACAAATAAAAAATCAAGTGTCAAAATGAAGGCTGGATCCTTACCTTAACAAGTAACCTTTGCGAGTAATACAATGAACACACAGCAGGGAACAATTTAGATTTAGGTAAAGATTTTTTGTAATTACTTTTTGTGTGGTGTATTTGATTTCTTAGAGTATTTTTTTTTTCTCCTGAAGGACACGGTTGTACTTGCCTAAACTCCTAAACAAACTAGTTAGACCTGAGCAAAATGTTCACAGCAAAATATGAAATTAGTTGAAACTTGCTTGGTTTCAGGTTTCTTTACAACCTCTAAGCTCAGCCCTGGTTCACTGAGAGGTTTGCTAAGGACCATGAACTCTTAGAGGGAACATGGACTGATTTATGGGTCTGCATGAAAATCCATGTGAAATTTGCCTTTCACATGACCACGATGCAAAAATATCTTCTCTCCCTCTAACCCCTTGCTGCAGTAGTGGATAAACAGTGATGTGTTTTATCTCCTGTTTCTGCATCAAGGCTGCCCAACCCAAGCAGCATTTTGCTTAATTCCTTATAAATCACCGGCGGTGCTAATAGCAAAATGTTCTCAGCTCTGGGGTTAGTACTTGTTAGTTTGTTGCTGCTACCGCGAGCCAGGCAGGATGAAAATGATGCTGATTTTGCTTTATTTTAACTTGATGTGAACACTACCATACAGATTTTGCTCCGGGTTATAATAGCTGAAGACAGAGCAGGGATTCACAAATGCCTCTGGACACCCCGGGACACATGCCAGGTCGTAGGAGGGCACGCTGCTTGTGCTTTGGCTTCGGGAAGTGCCATGGGATGGAAATGATCCGCCACAGCGCAGCCCCACGGTCCACTGCAACAGCAACCGTGGCACATCCAGTGCGTGGAGCACCTGCGAGGGGTCTGGGGCAGGGAAGAGCCACTGGTTTTGTGCTCTTTGGGTGGCTTTCAAAGTCAGGGTCTGCCCCAGGGCGAGGTGTCTCTATTCTCTCACCACAGGAATAGTGCAACCTTTTGTTAGGGATAAGGGATTCCCCAGCTTTTCTTGTTTCCTACACACATGCAAATGGTTGGATATTGACCTCGCATCTGGAGGTCTTGTTTCTCCATTTCCAAACTGTGTGGAAGACTTTTTCAGTCGTCTGCAGCCACCGAGACCTACCCTGGGCTCAGGACGGTCCATCCCCTTTCAAGCAAAGGGCAGCTCTTCCCTCCTCTGTGCGCAGAGGCTGCTCCCTACAGCAACCTGGGCAAATGCAGCCGTTTCTCGGGCTGGAGAAGGAGCTGTGCAGTGGCCGGGCTATAGGGATTTGACAGCAATCTGCAGTGCCGGCCACAGGGGCTCTGCTTGCTCATTATTAGAGTGGTGTAAGTGGCCCATGGAAAGTTCCCACCTGGCCCATGTTGCCAGGGAGGAAAGGACATCGTGGTGCAAATGAAGAGACAGCAGACTGCAATGGTGTCAAGACCTCCTGAAAGACATTTGACATTGGAAATATTGAAAAGTAGCCAGGTTATAGGAAAAGGCCAAGTCTATCCCTAACATACACCTGAATTCCCCTTATTGTAGGGAAA